AAATAAATGATGACAATTAAGATGATCGAGAAAGAATAGATAAGATGATTCCTAGTATTTAAACACCTTAATAATATTAATCTCAAATGAATGATAAAGTTCATGTTTTATTGTACTGATGTCAGTTCGTTTCATCGTATATAACAATTTCGTGCGCGAAAAACGAATGTGAGATAATCATGTAATGATGTGTTCTTGGCCTTATAAACACTGCATCCGATACATCACTATATTCAAAATGCATTTATAAAAACCCAGGTGATCACGTGTTCTATTACATACAGAGTTAATGGATCATTTTATCAGTTTTAAATAAACAAAAAAAGGTCCAATAAAATAAATTAGCAGTTTTCTTCGTTGGATTATGTTCTGCTTCGTTTGATTCAGCTTTTCCGTATCTTTTATTTTAAATATTAGATGACTATAAGTAGTTGATTGTTATCCCTTTTATATTTTTAAATATTACACTATTACTGCTATATGTGAATTTGCAAGTTCGAACTTTTTTAATTTAAAATCAAGTATAGAATTTTATTGCTTTTCGCGTGGTTACGGATAGTGACATTTCTAAGAAAATAATTTCATTATCTTATTGGATAAGTTCGACAAGCCGCATGGTAGTCTTTGCCTTCTAGTTTTGTAAATTGAGTATCCATTGAATACGACAATAAAAATGATTTATTTGATTTATTATAAATATAAAAGTTTAATTTTGGTTAATTTCCCGATTTCCCGATTTCCCATTTTTATATACATTACACCTTTTTGAAATTAGCTATAAATGTAGAGAAAAATTTCCTGATGAATATGCCGATAGTACTGTTAATATGTTATATGTCATTTTGAATTCGTGTTAATTTTTAAAAGAAAAAAATAATTAAGCAGTATTAACGTTAAACAGTCACGACTCTAGTACAAGACATTATTTTATATTATATAATATAAACCAAAAAAAGCTATCTTAATACTCGTATTACCTTTTTTTTATTTTGGTAAAGTTATTTAACAAAATTTTCTAATAAGGTTCTTTTATATAAGCTTTCAAATAATAATTAAATTATTCAATCGCCAACTTTAATGAGTTTACTACATACTACAATTGAACTGGAATTACCTGCTGAAACAACTTTTCACTAAACTATTAAAGGAATTTTATTTGCGCGCTATAATGAAAAAAATAAGCCGCGAAATGACCATATAAGCTTTAGAGTGACATATTAAACTTATCGAATATGATCTTAAACTCTATTGGTGCAAAACTTGTGTGGTTCACTCACAAAGATTGTGCCTTCAATGACGAACTGAACTGTAAAAATTCGTATTGTTAATTTGTTTCAGCGAAATACCAACGAGATGAAAGAACCAGAAAAGAAGTTAGCAAACTGCATAAAATGTTAAAATAAGGCTGTTAAGTCATCTGTTAAGTCATCTGCTAAGTCATCTGCTAAGTTGTCTACTAAGCCATGGTAAAAAAAAACCTTACCATAAGTCATTCGGTGATTTTTCGTCTCTTGATAGGTCTAGTAGGTCAATGTCTTATGGCGCTTTGCAATAAAGTGTGACACTGAGATTTTTGTGATGATAGTAGTTGGAAATTTCGGAGATTTAAATTTATCGTTATATATTTCAAAATTGTCGGAGAATCAAAAAATCTGCTAACTGCTAAAATCTGCTGATTTTTTTGTAATTTCAATGACATAGTGATCTGCAGATGTCACACTTTATTGCAAAGCCCCAAAACAGTTACAAGTTAAAGAAATCATGTAAAAAAAGGAATAATCAAGTTTACACGAGCAAAATCGTAATTACAGCGGATTTATTAGTAACAAAGCGTAGAGTAATGATAGGATCTTGAAGAATTTCTTGTTATCTTGATGAATTATACACGCACTAATTTCACTTTATAATAGGTAACACTGTATTTGACTTTCAATATATTTAAAATCACTTGATTAGATCAAAAATTCTTTGACTATCCGAGTCAAAGAATATTTACAAAATAAAATTCATACATTATAGGAAAGAGAATAATTTTGATAGGATTGCATTATGTACAAAAAAAAAAAAAAACCAATGATAGTTACATTAGTGTCATACTTAATAGATATTTGATAAATAACTATCGCTCAACTAATATATAAAAATTTTATTGAACATCTTTATTTTGAAAGGATAAACTATAAAAATAAATTCGAGAATTAGCTTTCATATTTTTCAAAGGATAATTTAAATTTTTTTTTTAAAAAAAAAAATTACCTATAATTCCTTTATCAGTTTTTAGGTTTCTACCAAGTGACTTCTTTTATCGTAGTGGTCTGGACATTGTCAATGTTTCTTCTAGTATGTTCTTCGATTCGTGTGATAACTTTTCTTATGCCATTTAAAGCGGAACCCATAGCAAAATATACCAAATCAAATACGATGAGAAAAATAGCTGGAGCTATTAAAAGGTAAGCGATATATTTTACGATTTCAAACATTTTTAAGTAACGAGATGATAAGTTCGTTGGAGAGGAGCGTGAAGAAGAGAAGAGAGTGAATATTTGTAATCGTCAGAAAAAATTAAATTCCAAAATTTGTAATTATTGCGGTAAATTATTTGAATACACTTTAATAAATTTGAGTAATTGTAGAAATTGATAATGCTTATAATAAGTTTCGCATCAATCGGTTAGTTATCAAGGAAATCATGTAGGAAAAAAAATTATTTTTTAAGTGTCGACCTTTTATCACTTAAATAATTTTTTTTTTTTTTTTTTACGATTTCTGATTTCTTTGACTTGAATTATTAATGTATAATTGGTAAATGAAAACGATTATTTTACTTATATTGTTAGTGTGGATCGATTTCAGGAAATTTCCTAGTTACTGACTTATAATTGTTCTATTTAGGTATTATATGTTCTTATCTATTATCTAATATCTCTAATCTGTACAAAAACTTATCAAAAGAACCAACCGGACATTTTATCGATGCATCCCAAATTAATTGAAGCCTGTGATGAAGTACATTTCGTAATCCCATTTTAATACAAATGGTGTCTCATGATCGTATGATAAAGTTCAAATTGTCTCTCTTATGTTTGTAATAAAAAGCGTCCACTTGACTTTTTTGCATACGATCGATTTGTAATTAATCCGTTATACTGTATACAATATCTGGTATGAACAGAATAACGATAAAATGTATACAGTTTACCGTTACTCACCTGATTTGTAGGTGGAGGAATAAATATAAACCACAATTTCCGTTTATAGATAAATCCATTCTTTATGAAAACTAGATTATCGAGCGGTATATCATGAGGTTGAATATTGATTTCCTTTTTGTTAATATTCCTGTTATTCAATTGCTTATTATGAGTGAAACTGAACTCTAAAAAAAAATGCAAAATTTATTCTCTTAAGCCTTTTCACTTTTATTACTTATTCACTATTATCGTATTTAATTGGAGTTGATCCTGACATTCCTTATACTCCGTGTTTATTAAGAATAGTTATATGATTCTCTGCTTCACAAATACCAAAATGTATCGTGGGAATTGTGGGGTGCATGTTCTTGTTTATATTGATCTACTATTAAAAAAATGACAATAATTTCTATTCTTTTCGAAAAGGAAGATCTAAATTTTTGGTTATATTCCGTTATTGCGTTATCATTATTAATCGCCACTTGTACAAAAATCAACAAGTATTTGATATAATTATTGTTCGAATAAACTTAATTCATAATAGAATAAATGTTTTTTTTTTAAAAAAAAAATATTTTACTACATAAGAAAAATTTTGCAGACAGATTATAATCTTAAGAATTCAAGCGAATACATTCCCCCCAGCCGACTTTGATCGAATAGTACACTCCCCTGCTATTGATCACCGGATAATCGTAGCCACATATAACGATAAACCAATTTTTTTTATATGCAAATCGGTTTTTGCATAACGATAATAAACAAAGTTGTTTATTATAACGATTAGTATATAATTTGAGAAATTTAGAAAATTTAATAAAGTTTTTGGGGTTTGTTTTTAGTATTTTAGGTTCTAGTAAACAAAAAATAAGAAAAAACAAATAAAATCTTTATATGATAACACATTTCTGAACTGTATTATAAAAATTAGTTGGAATTTAATAGGATTATTTACTGAGTTTTAGAACATATTCTTTAGATTGTAAAATGATGTAGGCAAATTTTCCTACATAATAGTTTAAATATAGTAATGATTTATATTTTTAAAAATTTAAAATATTTAAGTAAAAATTTATATAAGAATATTTGAAAATAAGAATTATATATTTTGTAGTATTTATTTTTATATTATATAAGATAAAAAGTTTGTGTTATCTATAAGTTAAAAATAGACAATTTTAAAAAAATTTTTTACTCAAAAATTTTATCAATATTTTTAGATAATTTTTTTTTATTTAAGTTTTAAAAATATAATTTTTAAAGCAATTTAAAATTTTGTTATTTAAAAAATTTTAATAAAAAGATTTCATGTAGCAGAATTCCTAAATAGTTTTCAACTATACAAGAACTTATAGTCTCAACAGCAAATTCATCTATACAAATGATATATTTAACACTTTTACCATTGCTTTATAAACTCCAACTAAAAAAAGTTAGATTATAACAAAAGATAATAATATTAGAATAATTTTTAATACTTCTAATACAAAACTACGAATTAAATAGCTAAAGTATTGTTTGTCAAAGTAAGTGAAGTTATATAGTAGGATCTAGTTGTATTTAGTTATCAGATTTGCAAATATGTTATTATTTGCAAATAAAGTAATATGTGTTTGTAAGGCTAGAGTAGATATTATAAAAGTTAATAAA